ACTCCAAGCCTCTTTAAATCAATTTTTTCCTTGTGAGTGGAATGTTTTTTAGGCCCCTGCTTGGTTTACAAATAGCTGAACATGTTGTTACCCTGGTGCTGGCTAGCGTTAGAGTGCCAAATACAAGCAAACTCAGTGAGCCTCCATAGCACCACCTGTCATGAAATGGCTTTCAGAGTGCCTACAAGCCTTGTACAACCTTGTCCCATTCACCTTCCCCACCCACCATCACTCAGACAACAGCTCTTCATAAACTCGCCTGTACCAAACCAGACAGAAGCAGTACAGAAATGGAAGATGTGCATAGGTCATAAACGTTCTTATTTCTACCATGCTGCCGTTAGTGATGGGCCATTGCTTTAGGATTTCCAGAGTTTGAAATACAGACTGGCCTCCGATAACTACACCGTGATAGCCATCAATTAACATGTTATTAAACAGTACACCAATAAAGAACACATTATGCCTAATGGCCAATGTGGAATCAGAAGGAATTAGTAAAATGAGACTCGATAAAATGCAAACCATAAAGATAAGCTTCTGAAGATTGGATCTGACTTTTTGTCCCTGCTTTCAAGGCAATAAATGGCCAGCACAGTGAACTCCTTTCTGCTGCTCCTCTACCTGCCTTGAATTCACAACACACCGCACAATGTAGGCAGGAACAGACACTGACAGAGCACTGGAGTGTGGCACTTGGGGACAAACCAACACAACATTACGGTCTTTTTTTCTTTTGTATCCAAGCAGAACACAGTTTTGACAATTCTCTTCCAGATCCAGACTAAAGGACCTTGAAGACAGAAGAAGATGCAGAGCCCTAGACCTTTCTATAACCGCTAAGTCAAACCATCAGACTTGTTGGGCACTGTCATATCCGTTTGCCCCTTCTGCCTTGCTGCCCATGAAAACCAACCTGTATTTAAAATCCACGACAGAGTCCATCAGACCACTAGTTGCAATCACTGACAGTTTCCCAGAATTAGAACTCAGAAGAACTATACAAGTAGCTGCCATTTGCCATTTGCGGCAGCCATCTTGGCATGCTGCGCTGCTGTCAGAGCGAGGCATGCAGGAGAATTCCCATTGCCAATCTTATGATGTGAAGGGCTGTGGGTTTTTTTTGTAACATTATTATGAGAATGAAGAAAACAAATCCAAGAAGACCTTTATGTCCACCCATGACATGAGAGCGCGATGTGAGTTACTGTCACTTCAGTTGCCTTCTGTAGTAAAGCAGACCATGAAGGTCCCCTGTACAGTCAGAGATGGAAGCAAGTTTTGCTGAATAGTGGCCAAATTCTGCAGCCCTTACTCAAGCAAAGCTCCTGGTGAACTTCCAGCAGGAGCTTTCCCTTGACAGGAATTCCACTACTAGCATTCAATGTTTTTTCATATTACTGGCCATAGTGGAAAGTGTGTTGGAGTGAAGTAACTCGTACTTCAGCCTACGCAGACCATTTATGCCTGTGCACTTTCCGCACAGTTTAACTTTCAGAATCAGCTGGCTCACGTTATTGTGAGGTTTTGTGTAAGGCTGTGGCTACACTTGGCTGACCAGCTCCAGGCAAACAGCACAGCGAGGCGGGCTGAAGAGCTCCGAGCACAAAGCCCTACCTGCATGTCAGGAGGCAACGCCGGCTCCTTTCTCTGCAGACGCTTTTCTCTGAGTTGCCATGGAGCCATTGGCTCACCCGGAATCAACTCTGCCTGCAGAAATGACTCATCCTGGTACGGAAATCTATGTGTAGAGATTGTTATTAAGAATCCAATATTAATCAAGCCGTGGTATTGGAGTTGTCATAGTTATTTCCTACTCTGAGCACAGAAAATAATGATGTCCTATTATTTCAAATATTACAGTGAGAGAAGTGTGGGTAAATACTAATTTTTTCACTGGAAAAATTATGTTGTGTGTTGCACGTCGATAAATACCGAGATGTGAAAAGCAATCTGAGAGTATACAGGGAACTAGAAACACATTTCCTCAGGGTTCACTCCTTCACCGGCTGGCACTGCTGTCAAACATCTGCACCACTTCCTGGAGTCAACCCTGCGCTTTGCACTGCCGGAGTACCCAACACCTGGCACACCAACCATCAGGCACTGAGCCTGTTGGAGCTGCAGAGTTTTATTCTAAGTTTTTAAACAAAAGGCAAATAAGCAAAATGCTTACTTCTTACTGCAGCTTTTTGGTATTTTGTTTCCCAAATCTTTTCTTATACGGGAATCAGTTTAAAGCCATTTGGATCATCTATGTTTATTTAATCTAGGAATCTCTAGATGAAATCTATCAAAAGAAATTAAAGTAAGTCCCAGTTGCCAGCGCATGAAAAGATATGATGCTATCACCAGGCACAACTAAATGATGATTGGATCATTTCTTGCAGGGAAACCGGTGGTTTACAGGTATGTAAGCCTCCAACTTTAAGAGATTCACAAAAACCAAAGTTAATTCCGGCAGCATTTCTATGTTGCTTCTCCAATTTTAGAGTTTTCTGTTGTATCGAAATTCCTAACCAAGCCCACTCTTTTCTTATTGCTTTGTTTCCCCCTCTAAACCAGGCTTTTTAAAACAAGCAGAAAAAAGCCCACAACAAAACTACCCCAAGTATATCAGTTGTATTTTCAGACTGGAGTTCATATTTGATTTCAACCGTGAAAAGAAAAGAAACGTCACACGTTCCCCATTCACTCATACACAAAACAAGCCCACAGATCAGCACAATACGCAATTCCGGACTCAGAAGTTATCTTAGACTGAAAAACAAGGCTGGGCGCTGATGGCTAAAACTTTAACACAGCTGCATGGAAAAATCCTGCCAAAAAACTGCCCAGCGTGGTTGACTCAAGGCTGAGGTGTTCGACCTTCCCCTTCCTGTATCTACAGGATAACACAGGACAGGAGATAGTTAAAAGAGAGCAGGGAGATGGGAACTCTGGAATATGTACTACACTGTACAAGAGATGCCAACATAAATAATTCACTAGGACAAACACATAACTTTGGAATTTCATTTCTTTTTGTACTGTGGTACTGCACTTGCAGAAAAAGTAGGTACAACAGAACTCAAATAGTGAAGTAACCTACTTCAGTGGGCTAACCATATATCCCTTAAAAATCACAACTTTGGCAGGAAATGGCTTCATTAAGCACAGGTGTGTGGGACACATTAGCTACCAAAGAAATTGCTATAGTAATTATATGAAATCATGACTAATGACTAGTATCACAGGGTGTTTCACCTTATCAGATGGAATATTCACACACCCAGGAACAGATACAACAAACAGTAAACACAGGAATTGAGATTTCATGCCACACATTCCTTTTCTGTCTATTATGGACTGTGGAGCAGATCTATAGGAATCCTTTAATTACTGCTAGCAATTGATCAGCAGATCAGAAACAATCACAACTGCTTAACTGCATTTTGGAAAAACTTCTCGGGTTCTATTTGTTTTTGTTTCACACTGAAACGATAACAAAACCTGCTAACTGCTCCTGCAAAATTCATTAGCTTCAAATGGTTGGGCTGGGATGGAAGGTGCCAGGCTTTGGGCTCCTACTGGCCACTCCAAGAGAGCAATGAAGAGAAAGTGTTCACAGCATGCCTCGAATGGAGTTCCTTGTGACAGGAATCTGTCTCTCCCTCCCCCCTGCAAAAAAATAACTGACACTCTCTCACAAGCAAAGAATTATAAAGAGTAGGAAAAGGCGTGCAATAAAATATCTTAATCAACTTGCTTGCTATAAATAGAAGTAAAGGACCACTGAAAACTAACTGACATACTTTCACACTGCAATGCTAAGTCCTCCGGAGGACCTTCAAGATTGTGCCACCACGTTTGCACAAGCAAGCCGAGGGCTTTTTGTGCGTTCTTCACCCTCTGACGTTATTTCCATCAGAAAAAGCTGGAAGTTGAAACTGTGACAACTTGCGCTGACCCATGGGAATGCAAACATCTATCTCCTGATAACACGTTGAGATAATGCACGTCACCACTGCAGCCAGCATGAGGACACTTGTCTTCACTTATTTTATATCCACTCTATCACATTCCAGGCTGTGTTTCCCTATCTTTCCTTTCAACACACTCCACGCATTCCTCCGGCGAAGAGCACAACTTGCTCGCCCCAACACAACAGCGCCTTCCTTCCCGCAGCTGAACAAAACCTGCCAGCTACTTAAAACTGCTATTCTAGAAGGTCAGTTTTTCACACCCTGCTATGGGAGCAGCCTTCCTTTCTCTTTTTGCAGGGAGTTTGGCTGCTTTCCGAGGAAAGCTTTCCTCCCACAAGACAGAAACACAGTGTTACACTCCGTCTGTGATATCTGGAAAGCACCCAGAAAAAAGAGCACGCGCAAGACTCCTTGTTTGCTCTCCATTATTCTATTGATAACTCCTCCACTGTGTTGACACCCGCGGCATATTCTGCATCCTATTCACCACAGCAGCCAAGCCTCTAACATCACCAACCGCAACAGAACCCTTACTTTCAGAACTCAGTGACATTTTTGCTGGGTACAGACTCTTGACAAAAATATTACACTAACATGAGCATTTCTGGTGCTGTGTAGGGGAGCAGGAAAAGATGCTGAACAAAAGCAAGAAATATTAACGTGAAAATTCATGTTCTTTTGCCTGCTCCAAGAGCACAGAATGGGAGCAGGAGAGAGAGAAGGGGAAAACCCCAGCCTGGAAGGATTTCATTTTGCAGAAATGTATTTGTGGAGTATTCCTGTCACTGGAAAATTAAATCATTACTGACGATCATGGGAAAGAAAATACTTCATGCTGTTTGTATTTTCAGAAAACAGCTGTAGTCTTTGCTTTTAATTTTCTAAAATTCATATAAAATTGCATTGGATCAAATTTAATACATTGCTCAATGGATTTACAGCATTTTAAATTGGTCCATTCAGCACTGAAATTACAACCACCAAAACTGCAGTGCCTTTCAGGTGTCTGCACGAGGCTAAAGCAACTGATATTACCTGCTGGGCTCCAGCGCAGAGCTGAGGGAGCTCCTCCTGTATTCGGCATTACCTGAAGCAGAGAGAGTCATTTGTCTCTGTTTCTACCTCAGATTTCTTCTGTCCTTTCCCCTTGAGATGATACATTGAAGTAAACCATTTTTCTGGTGATTAAGAATCCAACCTAACGACCGCTAGATTCGCAAGTGTGGATTTCAACAGGTGTCAGATGCGACCTCAGTTTCCCTGTTGGGACCACAGACTCTTTGCTTCTGACTGCTAATTTTGTCTCCTCCACTGGGTCTGCTTACCAAGGAATTTCCACTGGGGATATGGAATTCACATTTTTGATGATGACGCTGCTATCTTATGTCTTTGCAGGGTATTTTTTCTTTGAAGGACCTTCCCCTCTCCCTCCACTGCTAACCACCTACTATTTATCACTTGTGTTGTGGCTTCTAGGTGATGTTGTACACAGTGTAGTGAATTACTCTAAAATTCATCTCGAGAGGCAAGCAATGCAATTTGTTACTTACCCGGCGCCAGAAAAGCACGCAGCTTAGGATACATTTTAACTGGAGAGAAATTATCTGAATTTAGAAATAAGTGATTTTTCAGTTAAACTTTTACCAGATGCTGTATTGTGTTATATACCAAATTCCTGGAAAAGCAAGGAAAACAATTCCCAAAGTCTCATACTCAGTGTAGGAAAGAACATTTCCACACACATCTGAAGGCTTAGCTTTTTTCCTATGGGCATCTTGTGGGCACAGTTCAAAAGGCTGCGTGTATTCTTATAGACAATTTAATACAGTGAGCAGTGTTCACAACACAAATTGCACTATCAGTTTATAGCTGTTCTGAAAAAGGGATTTTCTTTGCATGCCCACTATACAAATTCAGTCACCTAAATTACAGAGATTGATCTCTTTGTGATGAAATAACAATTTAAGCTTTATTTATCTGGGGGTGAGCTATACACCTGCTCTAACCTCCAGACAAATTACCACAGAACCCAGTGTTTGCTAATAAGGTATTCAAAGACTCTAAAGCTGACAGTAACATCACCTCATTTGCCTGCAATCCTTCAGGCCTATAAGCTTATAGGCAGTTGTCCTGGAAAACAGCCCTGCTACATCATGCAAAGGTCAGCAAGCAGGAGGAAGGAACACATACTGGGTCTGAGGGCAGCAGAACATTGTTCTTTAACTAAATATGTTGTGCACAGAAGAATAGCAGCTGATCGGATTTCTGAAGATGTAATGAAGAACAGAAGAAGATGGATGTATTATTGAGGTTGATGGCTCAAAACTTTGCTTTTTCTTATGTTTGGAAATGCACGGGCAATTGGTGCGCGGTCTGAGAATTCTGAGAGCAGTCTACAAACAAAGCATGGTCTGAAGAGACTAAGAGAACCAGAAATGGGTTTGTGCTCTTAGGGAAAGTTTCCAGACATTCTTCAGACATTGCCTTAGGTACACTGCATTTCAATAATCCAACTTAAAAACCCACGAATAATTTTATAACAGCTCACGTGCAAATTTGAAGACTTGCAAAATCCACTGTTGCTTACATGGCTTTTGATAAGATTTCTCAACGAAGTAGAACAAGAGTTTTATTTCTCTAACTTCCATCAGTTGCTTCTACCAAGAAAATTCACTAGAAGCCTTCTGTTTAATTCCCAGGTTGGAGCAAGACAAGGGGAAGCACACAGCACTGCTCAGCTGTGATCCCTCTCCTCCCGGAAGACACTCTGGACAGATACAGTAAGTACACACTTCTTGAGAGTATGAGCCCTCCTGGCCTTGAGGCCATGGTCAGCAGGAGGGGTGACAAAGCAGACGCCTGTGGTGCATGACTGCAGTCAGGGCAAATTAACAAGTGCCCCTTCTATTCACAAAGAGAAAAGAATGGAGCCATTCAAGAGCAAACCCATCTGTCCCTGGGAGGGTTCACAAGAGTGTCAGAGAAACCTCACAGCCAACAGTCTCTAAGTAGTGGCACACAGGCATCCTGCAGAAGCAGCACTTTTGTCCACTGGTAGAAGCTCCACTGTCAGGATGCTGCTTTCACAGCCCATCTGCTTGCAGGCTGAACAGAACTTGGAAGATTCAAAGTCTGCACAGTGCTACCTTTTCTAAAAAGCAACGGGGAAAAAGGACAAGGCCAAACTTGCAATTTTCATCACTAAGTCAGGATTTCTTGGGCATGAATGAAACAACTCTTATTTAATAGCTGCCTAGTTAATCGCTTTGCCACACAAAAGGCATGGACAAAGTAGGTAGGAAATCACCATTACAGTATCTCTCTTAGGAAACAAACCAATGCCTTCCCTAAGCTTTTGAATGAACATACCTGTGTTCACAAGCAGCCATCTCAACATGCCTCATGTCTGCATTAGTTATAATCACTGGGACAACCCTGAAAATACACATCACAGTAACTGCATACAGTGATGCCCGCCTGTATTTGCAGAATGCAGGGCAGACTTCTAGGCAGCTTGCTCTATCTCACACACATCAGCAGATGCCAAGTGACAAAATGTCAACTGTCAACGTTATGAACTCACTGCTCATCAGCACACAGAAAAGAGGACTGGATCACAAGTATCTGTACAGTTGCTGGGAGTGCTCATCTCATTTTAGCACCTCTAAGGAGATGCCTAGGAAAATGCAAAAGAACTCTGGACTTTTTGAAAGTTATTGCTGCAGGAGAAGATAAAAACTTATACCATTCTGTGAGTGGAAACTAGTGGGCACTCTTCATAGTCCCGAGTGAAGTCCAAGCCCAAGGAACTCCAGGTGAGCATGAGCCCAGCTTCAAAATCTGTGCAACCAACACAAGAGATCCATCTCATCCATGCAGCCTGGAGGATTACAGTGTTATTTGGTGCTCAGTAGCAAATCTGAGCAATTCTTTCTCCAGATCTAATATTGCTCACCATGTAGAAAATGCAAACCTGGTTTTGCCAGCCTCCTTACTCTCTGTCGTAACTTCTGAGCATGAGATAAATGGCTGGGGAAAGATGATGAAAACCTTCTTTGGTCCCTCTTAGGTCATGTATCTTAATTTTTTAATTTTCATCCTGTAACAGCTGCCAGTAAGTTACAATAACACAGATTAAGAGGGTCATTTAGGGGTTGTTGTGCCACTAACTGAGAAAAGAAAATAGCAGTCTATCAGGCCACAGATAACATATGGAACAATAGTCCTTCCATCTCAAATCAGTACAGATTCAGTATTCTCCCAGAGTGCTCTCTTCCCTTCTTCCCTTCAGGAAGTGAAATTCAAACTCTCTAGCTGTGATGGGAAGAATTATATACCCTTTCTTCACTCAGACAAAAAGGCTGTGCTGATTTGTCCAACTTTAGATTCAACTGCTATTTTGGAAAAGTGTTTTGATCAACCTAAGACCCATGTCTTGCTTTACTCTGGCAACACTTCTGCTTCTGCGTGCCAGCAAGAGACGTAGAGGAGCAAACTACAGACATAAGACATGATCCCGAATGCTTATAGCAGAATTGCAATCACTGCTTCCATAGGTTGATTAGGAATCGTTTTCTTCCTTCATGCTTCCAGAAAACCAACAGGCTCAGTATTGATCCATTAAATCAAAACACCTCTCCAGACAGGTCAGAGCCCAGCCAGTGCTGTAATGTGGGACAGCTGATTCATAGTAAGGAATATTTTTGCACCTGTGTTCCTCTTTTAAGAGCTTTTGAGAAGGGTTGTGCTGCAAGATATTTTTTCTGGGGCAACACAACGAAGTCTCATTGATTATGTGCCACAAACAACGAGCAAAGGCAGTCTCACAGCAAGCACAAACAAGGCTGATGCAGGAGAAGAAACATCATCGTCATCTAGGAGAAACAGTAAAGCTTGCTAGCTTCCACCCAGGATGAAGTTTCAGATAGAACGGTATAAAGACTGCTGCAGAATTACATGTCAGCTGCTTACCCCAAACTGGCTGCTTTATAGTGGCTCTTGAGTACGTGTCACATTTTTCACCATTAAATGGAGAGTGGAAAGAGCTAATAATAAAAAAAAAGAATACCAAACAATCAGAACATAAAAGCGTATGGCCTCCATAAAATAACACATTTTTCTTTTCTTAATGTTTCAGCTGTCTGAAGAATACTTTTCTGGTGTAAAAGAGATAACTATATATCTTCTGATTTTATTGGCTGCAGATTACACTAATTATCATAAAAAATTACTACCACTAATAAAAATTCTATTATAAGTTACTTATAGTAATCTCTAGGGTACTATAGTTAGCTTAGAAAAGATCGTAATTACACTGCATTACAGGGAGAATTTGTTTCCTGCAGCAGCTTTAACACTATCTGCTCCTTTTAACACTTTCAAGTTGTCTATGTTGTTTTGTTTTTTTTTTTTTCCTCTTTCCCTTTTCAGGTCAAATGTTGCCTGTTATTTTCACTGTGCAGGATGTGATTTTGTCCCAGAATAACGATCCATCTCTGTTGCAAGTGACGCAAATGAAGTTTTAAAATCACAAATATCTGGGTGGGTTTCACCTCCCGAGGGGGTTAGCATGTCTCAATGGAAGGATGCATGAAAGGGAAGACCTAACTCTCTCCGCCCAAAGGGAAACGCTCTCAGTATAAAATTGCTGGAAGCCAGTGGGTGTTCACAGAAAATACAATGTTCGGACTTTATTTGACAAGACAACAATTGTTATTTTCCCTTTTAGATACTTTGCATTTTACCATCTGTGAGGTTGATGACTCTTAAATGACCTTAAATCATACCGCTGTTAATGGCAGTGGTTACAGGCGAATGTGGGTCTCTGTGCTACCTGCTTGGACTGAACATCAAATTAAATAGCTTTACTTTGATGGCCGACGCTGTAGTAAATAACCTCAAAGTCCAACTAATTAAAATAAAATTGAAACAGTGGCCATTTCTTTTAGAAAGGGTTTCAATGCTTCAATAGCAGGGCTAATCAGCATCTTAATTAACAGCCATATAAAACGAAATAGCCCATTTGAGTTGCTTTAAAACAGACAACTTATTTATGCAAAGACTAGTGGCATATTAATTGCCAACTCTAAGAAAATATACGCCTTTGAGCTTTACAGCTTCCTT